GTGTGTGTTCGTGTGTGTGTGTGTGTGTGTGTGTGTGTGTGTGTGAGAGAGAGAGAGAGAGAGAGAGAGAGAGACTTATTCCACTACTACTTCCGCTTCATCTTCTTCTTCTTCTTCTTCTTCTTCTTCTTCTTCTTCTTCTTCTCCTCCTCCTCTTCGTCATCTTCATCTTCTTCCTATTCTTCAGTCTCCTTCATTTCCAGGGTGGCCCCGGTGGGCTCGAATCTTGCCTCGGTTTTGTCAAACGTCGGGGACTCGGTGCGTCTTCTTGTTCATCTTCCTGTTGAAGTAATGCTTTTCTGCAATTGAATCGCGCACCTCTGCGGACTTGGTTCATCCTCTTGCCCAACTTCCTGTGTTCCCCCCCCCAAATCCCCCCAACGGGACCCCCAAACACCCCTGGGGCCTTGACACAAACACCCTGCCTCCTAACACCACTGCAAAACGCAGAAAAATGCTGCAAAATGGTCCATACCAGCAAGCCCCTCAGAACCCTCAAACAGCCCCTTAGGCAACCCACCCCACAGGGCCAACACACCCTTTATCAGACCCCTGACCACCCCCTACTGGACCCCCGACCACCCCCTACTTGGTCCATACCAGAGTTGCTGCGTGTATGGTGATGATAAAAGCAACTCCGTGTGGATAACAATTTTCAATTTAGTGTATGTACGACACTGCATGTTTAAGCTTTGAACAATGCTCTAAGCCCTGTCACAGCAGCGCTGATTAATATGTTCTCAGTTCTGCTTACCAAAACTGGCCCACTTGGAGCTTTCACTGATCCTCGGGGTTCGCTTAAGCAACCCCGAAATCTTACCTATTTAAAGTTTGAGAATAGGTCGAGGGTATTTCATTCCCGAGCATCGATAGATATGTTATTACTTTTCTGAAACTATTTTCTGTGATTCGTGCATCGAAAGGACCTTAAGCTTCTTAAAAGTAGTAAACGTTGATATGTTGTTATTTTCCTGTAAAAGTATTTTCTGCAATCGGTGCATCTGAAGTACCATAAAAAGTAGTATCAAGTTACTATATAGTATAAAGTTACTATAAACGTGCTATATTATTTTATACAACGGGGGAATGGGTGGAAACACGTGGCAGGGGGTGCTAAGGGTTTTTGTTTTCCAATCATGTGACTTCCATTCAGAGTTTGCATCCACGAACTGTTTATGAGTGTGTGGGCACAGCGTGTACCACCCATGACCTGTTTATCAAAAGCTACGCTAGGCTACCAGCCAGGATGCCCGGGTCACCTTGTTTGCCCGGACAGCCCGGCCGTGCAAGGACCAAAGAAGGCCCAAAGACTCACAGCGAAAAAGAAAAACAAAACAAAAAAAAAAAAAGATCTAAAAAATCTGAAAACAAATTATGTCATGCAGAAAAATAAACTGAACAACTTATGCCTCAGGGTCATATCGAAATTCTTTACCAAATTTGAAATAAAAAATTATTATAATAATTTTTATTTACTTTTTGGCCCGGCCGGGGAACTAGTCCCAGGCCACTCTGGTAGCCTAGCAGCTACGTTAATTTTATTTACATCATTACTTCATCATTTATTTTACTATTTGTTCACTATATGCTAATAGAGAGAAGATCATCCATAATTGTGAATGTCTTCAGTGACTCTTCAGTAACTCTTCAGCATACTTGCGGCGCACCGACCCTGTGCGGTGCGCGGAGCGCGGACCCGAGGTGCGAGATGCGCTGCGCACAGGGCTGGTGCGCCGAGCACGGGTGCGCGCTGCGGGGCTGCATATGCGCCAGGTGCGCACAGCATCCATTTTTTATTTTTTATTTTTATGTTGAACTGAAAGTTGAA